CGCTTCCCTCCCGACAATTTCAAGCACTCTTTGACTCTCTTTTCAAAGTCCTTTTCATCTTTCCTTCGCAGTACTTGTTCGCTATCGGTCTCTCGCCTATATTAAGCTTTGGATGGAATTCACTGCCCGATTTGGGCTGCATTCCTAAACAACCCGACTCGTAGACAGTGCCTCGTGGTGTGATAAGATCCAGGCACAATGGGGCTCTCACCCTCTCTGGCGCCCCCTTCAGGGGGACTTGGGCCCGCTAAGGATGCTTCTCTAGACTACAATTTGGACGATGGAGCCACCTGATTCTAAGGCTGGGCTGTTCTCGGTTCGCTCGTCATTACTAGGGGAATCCTTATAAGTTTCTTTTCCTCCACTTATTGATATGCTTAAACTCAATGGGTAGTCCCGCCTGCCCTGGGGTCGCGGTCAGAGCGCCTAAGTGCGATTAGGGTCGGGGAGCCCAAACATGCGATGAGTTGGAGCTCGACATTACAAGAGTTGAGTTTCAACCACCACTTGTCGTGACGTCCGTCGTCGAGGACTCACATTTAGGCCAACTGCATGCTCGAGGCACACGAGAGGCTAGTATCCGTCCCACGACACCACCGCGACCATGATAATGGGTGCGATGTGTGGGTGCGACGCGATTCATGATGCCCAGGCAGACGTGCCCTCGGCCTAATAGCTTCGAGCGCAACTTGCGTTCAAAGACTCGATGGTTCACGGGATTATGCAATTCACACCAAGTATCGCATTTCGCTACGTTCTTCATCGATGCGAGAGTCGATATATCCATTGCCGAGAGTCATTTGTGTTTTATAATAACCACAAGTCCCCCCACACGCGCAATGAATGGGGCGTGAGGGGCAAGCTTTGCATTTAGTATTCCTTAGCGCTTTCCGCACCGGGGTTCGTTAATCACCCAGCATGCACGCATGCGAGCACGCGCGTCGGGTATAGGAGAGAGCCACACAGGTTTCGACAATGATCCTTCCGCAGGTTCACCTACGGAAACCTTGTTACGACTTCTCCTTCCTCTAACCGATAAGGTTCAATGGACTTCTCACGACGTCGCGGGCAGCGAACCGCCCACGTCGTCGCAATCCGAATGTTTCACTGGATCATTCAATCGGTAGGAGCAACGAGCGGTGTGTACAAAGGGCAGGACGTAGTCAACGCGAGCTGATGACTCGCGCTTACTAGGAGTTCCTCGTTGAAGACCAACAATTGCAATGATCTATCCCCATCACGATGAAATTTCAAAGATTACCCGGGCCTATCGGCCAAGGCTATAAACTCGTTGAATACATCAGTGTTGCGCGTGTGTGTCCCAGAACATCTAAGGGCATCACAGACCTGTTATTACCTCAAACTTCCACGGCCTAAAAGGCCGTAGTCTCTCTAAGAAGCTGGCTGTGAAGGGATACCTCTGTATAGCTAGTTAGCAGGCTGAGGTCTCGTTCGTTAACGGAATTAACCAGACAAATCACTCCACCAACTAATAACGGCCATGCACCACCACCCATAGAATCAAGAAAGAGCTCTCATTCTATGAATCCTTATAATGTCTGGACCTGGTAAGATTCCCCGTGTTGAGTCAAATTAAGCCGCAGGCTCCACTCCTGGTGGGTCCCTTCTGTCAATTCCTTTAAGTTTCGTCCTTGCGACCATACTCCCCCCGGAACCCAAAAACTTTGATTTCTCATAAAGTGTCGACAGAGTCCTAAAAGAAACATCCGTTGATCCCTGGTCGACACCGTTTATGGTTGAGACTAGGACGGTATCTGATCGTCTTCGAGCCCCCAACTTTCGTTCTTGATTAATAAAAACATCCTTGGAAAATACTTTCGCACTTGTTCGCCTTTCATAAATCTAAGAATTTCACCTCTGACTATGAAATACGAATGCCCCCGACTGTCCCAGTTAATCATTACTCCGATCTCGAAGGTCAATGTAATAAGACTAAAATCCTATAATGTTATCCCATGCTAATGTATACAGAGCATAGGCTTGCTTTGAGCATTCTAATTTCTTCAAAGTAACAGTGCCGGAGGCACGACCCGACCAATTAAGGCCAGGAGCGCATCGCTGGCAGAAGGGACAAGACGACCGGTGCACACCTAAGGCAGACCGGCCAGCCCATCCCAAAGTCCAACTACAAGCCTTTTAACTGCAACAACTTAAATATACGCTATTGGAGCTGGAATTACCGTGGCTACTGGCACCAGACTTGCCCTCCAATGGATCCTCGTAAAGGAATTTAGATTTTACTCATTCCAATTACCCAACTCATAGAGCCCGGTATTGTTATTTATTGTCACTACCTCCCCGTGTCAGGATTGGGTAATTTGTGCGCCTGTTGCCTTCCTTAGATGTGGTAGCCGTTTCTCAGGCTCCCTCTCCGGAATCGAACCCTAATTCTCTGTCACCCGTCACCACCATGGTAGGACACTATCCTACTATCGAAAGTTGATAGGGCAGAAATTTGAATGATGCATTACCGGCACGATGGTCGTGCGATCCATCGAGTTATCATGAATCATCGCAACAACGAGCAGAGCCCGCGTCGACCTTTTATATAATAAATACATCCCTTCCAAAAGTTGGGGTTTGTTGCACATATTAGCTCTTGAATTACTATGGTTATCCGAGTAGTAGATACCATCAAAAAACTATAACTGATTTAATGAGCCTTTCGCAGTTTCACAGTCTGAAGTTGTTCATACTTACACATGCATGGCTTAATCTGTGAGACAATAATATGACTACTGGAAGGATCAACCAGGTAGCATTCCTCATTGACGCCGGCGTCGCATGAGCATGGCCGATCCAAAGGGCACCACCAAGTCCAATATAAGCACGACCGTCATTCGTAAGGAGCATTCTTTGGGTAGATATGAGCCAATTAAGACCCCATGCCCATTGCGTTAATCGAATTCGAGAGTTCAAGCATACTAGTCATGGACCAAGCCATTGCAAGGCGAAGCGAGGACGACCTGGGACACAACTACAATTTTTGGTTCACCCCGCACGTCGAACGCAAGTGGTGAAAGGCGACCAATTGTGCTTGATAATGCCTTGGCATTAGGTATGCAACAGAGAAACCCGATGCCGAACAAGCCTAATTTGCACTTGTGCCAGGACTAAGATAGCATGCGGGCTAGGACGTCGCTGCTCAAGCAGGGATTCAACCTAGCCACACAAATCGAACACCACTCATGTGCCGCACGTACACTTGCCTCACCAATAAAAACCAACAACAGCCCCAACACGCGATGCGCAACCATGTGTTGTTCCCAATGCCAACATTGCAAAGCCAAGACAAGCCCTGCAAAGCACAAATAGGGGGTTGGAGCAATGCCAAACACAACCCACAACAACTGATGGCAATCGACAATTCACTAAGTTTCATCCCATGCGCATGGAACCTTGCAGTGCTACTTGCACAACGCTTTGTCGTTCTATTGCCAAAATCCATCAGTCGCCACAAGCAATGTTGCCTCCTGATGTTGCCCGCAACAATCGATGGCAATCGGCAACTTACAAAGCTTCACCCCATGCCCACATCACCTTGCGGCGCTAATTGCATGGCGCTTTGTCGTTCTATTGCCAAAAGCCATCAACTGCCATGAGCTCTTCCTGACACAACCCATAACAACCCACGGCAATCGGCAACTTACTATACTTTGCCCAATGCGCACGGCACCTTGCGGCACTACTTGCACGACACTTTGTCGTTCTATTGCCAAAAGCCATCAGCCGCCACGAGCAATGTCGCCTCCCGATGTGGCCTGCAATAACCGATGGCAATCGGCAACTTACTAAGCTTTGCCCCATGCGCATGGCACCTCGCGACACTACTTGCACAATGCTTTGCCATTCCATTGCCAAAAGCCATCAGCCACCACGAGCGGTTCCAGACACAACCCACAACAAGTGATGGTAATGGGCAACTTACTAAGCTTCGCCCCATGCGCATGGCACCTTGCGGCGCAACTTGCATGACACTTTGCCGTTTTGTTGTCAAAAGCCATCACTGCCACGAGTGATGCCTCCTCCCGATGTTGCTCGCAACAATCGATGGCAATCGGTAACTTACTAAGCTTCGCCCCATNGGGGGGGGGGGGGCGAAGGGGGTTTACAGACACAACCCACAACAAACGATGGCAATATGCAACTTACTAAGCTTCGCCCCATGAGTATGGTACCTTGCAGCGCTACTTGCACGATGTTTTGACTTTCTGTTGCCAAAAGCCATCAGCCTCCATGAGCGATGTTTCCTGCAACACCCGATGGCAATTGACATGTACTGAGCTTCGCTCCATGCGCACGACACCTTGCGGCACTACTTTCATGACGCTCCGCCGTTAATTGTCAAAAGCCATCAGCTGCCACGTGCGGTGCCAGACACAACCCACAACAACTGATGGCAATCAGCAACTTACTAAGCTTTCGACATCCTGACATGTCCTGACTCATGCCTTGGCCATGTCATGCGATGTCTTGACACGTCCTGGCACGTCCTGACTCCTGCTGTTAGTCCTCCGCCAATTAAGCTCGACATGACAACAAGGGTGTTGTCATGAGGCAGCGAGAATGTTGCAAAGTTAGGTGCACGAGCAGCACCAATGTCAAAAATGGAAAACGGGCAAGTGATGGCCAAGGCTTTGACGGAGGCGAGGCAGCTTGGCAAGGGCTTGACAATGAGTTGCGGGCTAAGGATGGCACTTAATCATGGCAAAGGAATCAAGGCATGAGGCAGTAATGCCAAGGCAAGGCAAAAATGGATGGGCAAAGGCAAGCAAATATACAACGGGAAGGCAGTGCGCGGACAGACTTGTCAAGGCATTGAGTTGCTGCAAATGGGCCAAGTTCGTGGGCGATGGCAAGACAAGTTGCGGCATAATGAATCTGGATACAATGGCATTGGCGCCTGGTCAAAGCCATGACACGAAATTGGGCAGCAAGTCTTGGATTGACAAAGTCAAAGGCGGTTATCGGCATATGTTGTGCACATGGGCAGCAGCAAAGGCAAGCAAATGTGCAACGGGAAGGCAGTGCACAGACAGACTTATCAAGGCATTGAGTTGCGGAAAATGGGCAGAGTTCGTGGGCGATGGCAAGGCAAGTTGCGGCACAATGCATCTGGATACAATGGCATTGGCTCCTGGTCTAAGCCATGACACGAAATTGGGCAGCAAGACTTGGATTGACAAATTCAAAGGTGGTTATCGGCATATGCTGTACACATGGGCAGCAGCAAAGGCAACCAAATGTGCAACGGGAAGGCAGTGCGTAGACAGACTTATCAAGGCATTGAGTTGCGGCAAATGGGCCAAGTTCGTGGGCGATGGCAAGGCAAGTTGCGGCACAATGCAGCTGGATACAATGGCATTGGTGCCTGGTCCAAGTCATGGCACGAAATTGGCAGCAAGTCTTGGATTGACAAAGTCAAAGGTAGTTATCGACATGTGCTGTGCACATGGGCAGCAGTTGAGCCTTGTCCAAAAAGCTGGCAGGTGTTAGCACGTTTTTGGGGCCATGATCTCATTATCTTTAGCATGATTTACATGATCCTAGTAGTTGGGGGTGTCAACTACACTAAGCTAAAGTAGTGGGCTGAGTGGGCAAGTGCCTAAGCCTAAATATAGGCAACTATTGTGTAAATGGGGTTGGTTCATATATTATAAATGGACAGCACCCTTTCCCTTTTGGAGAATGGAGTGAAAAACATGTGAGATCACACTATTGAGTTAGGAAGAAGTCCTAAACCTGTTTTCAAGAGTGAAAACAACCTAAGGCTAAGAGTAGTCTTGTGAGGGTCAAGAGTGATCTTCATTTTGTACGCGGATGTACTTTGAGTTTTGAGTTTTCTTGGTATTCTCGAGTTAAATACAAAGTTGAGAAAGAGTTTCCTCTATATTGTGCCTTTTGTTCACTTTAATTTTCTGTCCTTCATCTATTTTTTGTTGCCTAAAATCAGTATCTACTTACTACGTTGAAAAGCTGCCTAAATAAATCTAAGTCCAAAGTTGCAAAATTTTGGCCGAGTGTTGGAGCAGGCTGAAGTCAAGTCAAGACTTGGCTGCTGCGCGGGCTGTTTTTGTGTGACATAAAATACGCCTGTGACAACTGGTATCAGAGCAGAGCAGGTTCGTGATGGAGACACGACGGGTAGTGGCAGATTTCGTGGTCTTGTTCGAGAACATGGCTGGTAGTAACAATGAACTGCGGGAAAGGCTAACAAAACTGCAAGCATTGGTGGGAAATATTCCTGATGGTGAAGAAATTTAGACCCTTATGACAAGGCTTGCCAACCTTGAGGCAGAATTGGCAAGGCTAAGTTGAGAGAATGCGGATCTGAGGGTCGAGATAGTGGTGCTATGACGTGTTGTGGGCGAGAATGCTCCTCAACGTGGTGCTGAACGTCTCAAGGTGAGAATTCCTGAGCCTAAGGCATTTAGTGGTGCAAGGAGTGCACGCGAGTTGGAGAATTTTCTTTGTGATATGGAGCAGTACTTTCATGTTATTCGTGTGCAAGACGAGATGGAGAAAGTAACCTTGACTAGCATGTATTTAAGTGAAGATGCTAAGTTATGGTGGCGCACTCGTGTGGCTGAAGATGAAAGTTTGGGTAGACCAAAGATTGAGTCGTGGGAGCGGCTTAAAAAGGAATTGAAGGATCAGTTCCTTCCTAGTAATACATCTTGGATTGCTAGGGACAAACTGAAAAAGTTGAAACACACTGGATCAGTTAGAGCATATGTGAAAGAGTTCACATCTTTGATGCTGAGCATCAGCAACATGTAGGAAGAAGACAAGTTGCACAACTTCATGAGTGGGCTGCAACAGTGGGCACAACTTGAGTTGCGAAGGTGAAATATTCAAAACCTCGCAAGTGTTGTGGTTGTGGCTGATGCATTGGGCGATTTTCACTTGAGTGATGAGGCTTCTACTTCAAATTCCAAAGACGGAAAGAAGGACAACGCAAAGGAGTGGAAGAAATTTGAAAATGGAAATGCAAATGAACACAAGGGGAAGGGAAGCAGGAAGCTGGAACTTCAAAGAGTAAGGAGAAGGGCAGCAAATTCAGTGGTTGTTTCCTTTGTGATGGACCACATCAAGCAAGGGACTGTCCGAACAAGGCAGTGTTAAATGTTATGACTGTCGCGGAGAAGAGGGTTGCATTGGAGGTGCTGAACAGTGACAAACAAACTGTTGGTGTCAATGAAATTGTAGCTGAAGAGA